TTTTTTTTTTTTTTTGCATAGAATTGTTATATTCATGAATATCTCTAAATTATTTTATTCTGGATCACACCTTCTGATTGCAGGGTGTGGAAGAAGGAAGCTTCCATTCTTTGCTTGCCCTTATTGATAGCATGTACATCCGTTCACAGATAATGCTGGGATTAAAGGCATATATCACTATGTGTGGCATTTTTTACATTTATTTATCTAGTCTGTCTCTGCCTCTGTGTGTGTCTATGTGTCTGTGCCTGTCAGAGGACAGCTTGTAGGAGCTGGATCTTTCCTTCCAATGGGTTCTAGGGAATGAATTCTAGGCTTGGTGGCAGGAAGCTTTCCCCACAAAGCTACCTCCTAAGTCCCTGGAGTGACAATTTTAAGGCTCCTGAGGCTAAAAATGAAATTAAATTCTTAGTCGTGATGGCACACACCCATAGTAGCAGCATTTTATACAGAGAGCCAGAAGGATGAAAAGTTCAAGGAGAGACTGGCCTGCCTCAAACCAACAACTACAACAACAAAAATAAACAAACAAAACCAAAACCAAAGCCCAGTGAAATTCTCTGTATTTGCTGTCCCCTATCTTCCTCAATTCCCCCATTTAAATAAGTCATGACCTGGGCATGTGTCCCTCAGGTGACTCACGTGTGTCAACCAGGAGTGTGTCAAGCCGGCTTCAGCATCCCTCGCACTCACACTTTCTATTCTGGTGTAGCTGAGGGCGACTTCCTCTAGCGCTGGAGCAGGGGTTTAGACAAGCAGAGCAAGTGCATGCTGGGAGTTCCCGGGCAAGCTTGCCGGATGTTTCCTTTTTTGGTTGCCAAGAGCCAAAGGAAATGGACCACAAAACACAGCCTTAGCCTTTTCCCTCTGTACCAAGGTCCCGGATGGACAGTTACAAAACAGATGGGATTTCTGTGTAAAAATAATCGGACTGATATCACATAATAGAAGTTATACACAGGCTAGTATCTCATCTCCTTTATTTCTCCTCTCCGTGAGCTTTATGACCCTGGGAAAATTGAAGGAAAATATTTGAACAGTGAGGGTTTGAGCCACACAGAACTACCGTGGGCTCATTCACGCCCGGGATTTTTAACCAGATGGTATTAATGGGCCTTTGAGATTGCAGGCCTGTTTCCTTCTCCTACACCTACCGCTAGGTCCATTAGGGAGGATGAGGCCCACATTTAGCAAGGACATGTTCAAACCGAGAAGCTGAGCAGACTCAAAGAGAGACAGAAGGCAAGCTCTGGTTATGCCATTGCAGAAGGCCAGTGTGAAATGGAGGATGGCATTGAAGTGAAAACATAGCAAAGAACTGAAGAAAAAGGTCAAGGTGGCCGCTTAGAATGTACTATGATCTCCCAGCTTTGGTTTATAAAGCACAAATGATTGCAAAGTTGAAGCCTTTCTGAGGAATGGACTAAGGAACCTGGACATCTCTCCTGCTGCTTTCTGGTCTTTTCCGTTTGTGTCCTGGTAGCTTGGTAGCTTCTAGCTAAACCTACCTCCAGAATAATTTGGTCAGGACAAATATTTTTTTTTAATTTTTTAAAATTAATTTATTTTGTTTATTAATTACAGTTTATTCACTTTGTATCCCAGCTGTAGCCCCCTCTCTCAGCCCCTCCCAATCCCAACCTCAATCCCTCTTCTCCTATGCTCCTCCCTCAGTCCACTGATAGGGGAGGTCCTTCTCCCCTTCCCTCTGACCCTAGCCTATCATGTTTCATCAGTACTGGCTGCATTGTCTTCCTCTGTGGCCTGGTAAGGCTGTTCCCCACCTTAGGGGGAGATGATCAAAGAGCAGCCACTGAGTCCACAGCAGGCACGCACAGTGCAGAGCTGGGTTAGGGTGTTGTAAGAGCTACAAACCTGCCTTGTCTTGATAGCCTTCCTCTTCCTTAGTGACATGTATTATTTCACTGTGGGGCGGTGGCACACACCTGTAATCCCAGCACCCGGGGAGACAGAGGCAGGTGGATCTGTGTGAGTCTGAGGTCAGCCTGGTCTACAAAATGAGTCCAGGACAGCCAAGAGTACAGAGAAAAACCCTGTCTCTAAGAAACATTAAAAAAAAGTCTTATTTCCTTGCTCTGTTTTAGAAACACCATCCTAAAAAGGGACCTTATAGTAAGTCAGGGGACTGGCAATGCTGTAGCACAGGGGATGTACTGAGATAAAGATAGAAAAGAAACCCATCTTCCTCTCACTGTCATCATCAGCACTCACCCTTGATGGGTACATTATAAAGAAGCTAGCACAGTAGATTTGAAGTTTGGGTTTTGTTTTTACACAGGGTTTCTCTGTGTAGCCTTGGCTGTCCTGGACTCACTTTGTAGACCAGGCTGGCCTTGAACTCATGGAGATTCACTTGCCTCTGCCTCCCTGAATATTGGGACTATAGGGCATAGTGACACATGCCCTGCTTGACACTGTGGACTTTTTTTTTTTTTTTAAGATTTATTTATTTTATTATGTATAAATGTTCTCTCTGCAGGCATGCCTGCACTCCAGAAGAGGGCACCAGATCTCATTACAGATGGTTGTGAGCTACCACGTGGTTGCTGAGAATTGAACTCAGGACCTCTGGAAGAGCAAGCAGTGCTCTGAACCTCTGAGCCATCTTTCCAGCCCCTGACACTGTGGACTACAGAGTGGGTTCCAGTACAGCCATAGCTACACAGAGAAACCCTGTCTCGGTCCAATGGGTAGAGATGATGGAGGGATGGCTGTATGTGAGCATCACTGTAGCGGGGTTTCTTACACTGAAAGAAGTATGACTACAACAGCTGCATTCAAGGTGCTTAGGCAGGAAGATACTAGGTTCGAGGTCAGCCTGGTCTACATAGCGAGACCAAATCTCAAACAAAATAAAACTACCAGAATGTAAATAAAACCAACCAAACCAAAAATTAGCCTAGAAAATAGCATCTTGCTACAAAGGACACATCCTCTGTCATAAAGAACAACAACTTGCTGAGGTAAAGAGGAGATAAAAGCCAAAAGTTAATTCTAAAGAGTCTTCTCCTCCCCTCCCCTCCCCTCCCATCCTCTCCTCTTCTTTTCTCTCCCTCTTTTCCTCCCCTTGGAAGTTTTTTTTTCCCTCTGATACATCTGAAATAATAATAATAATAATAATAATAATAATAATAACAACAATAACAACAACAACAATAATAATAACAACAACAATACCCTTACTTTTAGCCTTTAACTCATTCTGAAATGATTAGATGCAGTACAAGTGTCTATGCTTAGAAAAAACAAAAGGGACAGGGTGATGGTGGCACACACCTCTAGTGCTGGCACTTTGAAGGCAGAGGCAGGCAGATCTCTGAGTTCGAAGCCAGCCTGGTCTACAGTGTGAGTTCCAGGACAGCCAGGCTAAACAGTGAAATTCTGCTTTGAAAAACAAACAAACAAACAAACAAACAAAATAAAGGGGAAGGAAAAGAAAAACAAAAGCATACAAATGTACTCTGAAGTTTCAGGCACGCTCTGGGGTCTTGGTGGGGAATGCATCTCCTCTGGATAAAAGGCAGTGGACTGCTTTATCAATAGTCTGCCTTAGAGAGCTATTTGAAATCTTCAGAGGTTTTCGTTGTCTTTGTTTAATGAGACAAGGTCTCAAATAACCTAGCTGACTTTGAACTTTCAATGTAGCAGAAAACGACCTTAAACTTTTGATCCTCCTGCCTCTTCCCCTCAAAAGCTGACTGGATCTATCGGCCTGGTTTTGTCGTTTTCAGACTTTAAGAATATGGTGAGTTCTGAGATGGGTAGGCTGAAATTGGCCCCATTGCAAATCAGGCACCAGGTTCTATTCTCTTTTCCTTCTGTCAGGTCCATACCAAGACACAAAAACAATTAAACTGAGGGAAATAGCTTATGGCTCAGGGCAGTGATTCTCAACCTTCTTAATGCTGTGACTCTTTAACACAGTTCCTCATGTTGTGGTGACCCACAAAGATAAAGTTATTTTTGTTGCTACTGCATAACTGTAATTTTGCTATCGTTTTAACCTTTTGGTTTTTTTGAGACAGGGTTTCTCTGTGTAGCCTTGACTGTCCTGGACTCACTTTGTAGACCAAGCTGGCCTGGAACTCACAGAAATCTGCCTGCCTCTGCCTTCCAGAGTGCATGAATCACAGGTGTGTGCCACCAGGCCTGGCTTACTGTTATGAATCATAATGTAAATATTTGATATATAGGATATCTGAGATGTGACCCACGGGTAGAGAATGGCTAGCTTATGAAGTTCCTTAGTTCAGTAGGCCATAAACTCACTTCCTCACTGAAAAGAAAGTATTGTGTGAGGCAACAGCTAATTCATCCCATTTTGATGTAAGAGGCTCAAAATCGTTGGCTACCTTGTCCTATCCCAAAGCTTGCTATGTAGGCATAGCTACAAGGAGAGGTCCCTTCGACACTTCTCATCAGATCAAAAAGTACTGGATGATAATTAGAAATATAAAGAGCAGTCAAGATGAAATGTGGCTTTGAGTGGAGTTAATTCGAAAATGCCTCAAAAGATTGTTTCCCTGAGCTAGTAAGACCTGGAGAGGACAGGAGCTCCACAAGGACCAAATATATCAGGGCACAGGGGTCTTTCATGAGACTGTTTCTCCAACCAACGACCATGTATGGATATAACCTAGAACCCCTGCTCGGATATAGCTCATGGTAGCTCATTAACCAAGTGTGTTCTCTAGTAAGCGGACTATTTCTGACATGAATCCAATGGCTGGCTCTTCGACCCCCCACCCTCACCCCGCCTGAGGGAGGAGCAGCCTTGCTAGGCCACAGAAGAGGACATTGCAGCCAGTCCTGAAGAGACCTGATAAGCTAGAGTCAGATGAAAGAGGAGAAGGACCTCCCCTATCAGTGGACTTGGAGAGGGGCAGGGAGGAGATGAGGGAGGGAGGGTAGGGTTGGGAGGGAATGAGGGAGGGGACTACAGCTGGGATACAAAGTAAATAAC